TCCCAGGTCAGGGAACTAGATCCCATATGCCCCAACTAAGACCCAAGCAGCCAAATAAATAAATAAAAATAAATATTAAAAAAAAAAGAGCTGGGAACAGAAGAGGTCCCACCTTGGGCCAAGGACAAAGTCAGCCTCATCTCCATCATCATCCCAAAGCCCTTCCTTTTCATTATTCTCAAGATAGTCCCATGGAGAATGCAGGACAGAGACTGTGTTCCTCACTTCACAGATGAGGAAACAGACTCAGGGTGTGGGAGGACTTGCTATTAAGCTGAAAACACACAACTGAGATCTTTCGACTCCAAGCACGGTGCACTCCCCCACTGGGACACGCCTCCCCCAGAGGCCTTGGAGGGGCACGAACATGCCAGATCTCTTGCTATGGCTCTGTTTTAGCACTCGTCACTGATCTACTATACACCGGGCGCTCTGCCACGTACTTCTCTCATCCTGTATCCAGTAAATCCTCACCACCACCCAGGAAATAAATGTTACCAACCACATTTTGCAAATAAAAAAATTCAGGTCCAAAATCCAATAGACATATGTCCAAAGACACACAACTAGGATGCAGTTGGAATTCACCACCAGTCTGACTCAAAGCCCTGACTCCTCCCACGACGCTTCACGGCTTTCATGAGTCCACATTCTCCACATGGGCCAGTATAGACACTCTTTCTCATGTACGCCTAGCCCATAGCAGGTGCTAGCTAAATGTTAGTTCATGAAATCATTTTTCCCATGACTAAAGATTAAAAGGAACAAAGGAGGCTATTTCAAACAGATAAAAATTACAATCCAACCAGAACACATAATAATCACAAAACTTTATGATGCTAACAATGCAGCTTCAAAGTGTAAAAAACAAAACTGAATCAAAAGAAAAAAGAAAAGAAAAATTAGTAAACCCACAAAGTAGATTTTATACACCTCTATCAGAAATGAACAGAGGAAATAAGCCAGTGGTTCTTAAACTTTTTGATCTCAGGACCTCTTTACACCCTTAAAAATTGAAATTTTAAATTAAAGAACTTCTATCTATATAGATTTATACCTATTAGTATCTACCATGGTTAAAATGAAAACTGAAAAAAAATATTAATTCATTTCAAACAACAATAATACACCCATTATGTTGACATAAGTAACAAATTATGTGAAAAATAATTATATTTTACAAAATAAAAAAAATAGTGAAAAGAGTGGCACCGTTTTACACTTTTGCAGTCTCATTCATGTCTAGGTTAACAGAAGACAGCCAGATATTACCTGCATTCAATCTGTTGTTACATGTTGTTTTGGTTGACATATATGGAAAAAAATTGGCTTTACATAGAAATGTAAAAAAGAGAGTATTTTTTTTTTAAAGAGAGTATTTTAATAGCCTTTTCAGATATTATGGCTATCAAATTGATACTGCCAAAATATTGACATGTGGCAGTTCCTTCAATGTTGGTTGTAATGTAGAATCTGAATCCACATCAATAAACTTTTCTTACTTAACAAAATTAAATCCTTAAAATTCATTGGTCTATCTTGCACTTTGAGTAGATCTTCAAATTACGTACAATTTTGACCTTGTAGGCTCCGTAAAAGGCACGTGAGGACCCTCAAGGGAACCCTGACTACAAGGAGAACCACTGAAGTAGGCACTGAAAAGGCAGGAAAATAGGGACTTCCCTGGTGGTCCAGTGGTTAAGAATCTATGATCCCAATCACAGGGATCCTGGGTCCGGGGAATAAGCTCCCGAACAAGCTCCCACATGCTGCAACTAAGACCCCATGCAGCCAAAAAGAAAAGAAGAAAAAATGTTGGTTTTGATAACTTTAACTAGCCAGGTTTTTTTTGGCCCCACTGCACAGCTTGAGGGATCTTAGCAAGGAGTCCTAACCACTGAACCACCAGAGAATTCCCCATAATTCCCCAGAACCCCCAATCAAAGAGTTATCTGTGTAGAACTTTGTTCACAACAAACCATGAGTACACATTGTTTTGAACAAGCAAGTTCCTTCATCAGCTGGGGGAAACGTGCTGCCTGGACAGACAGCAGATGCTCCCGGATGGACAGATGTCCAGCATGCCAAGTGTTTCACCCAGTTGCCCTGGCCCTGGAGCAGGCTCATCAGGAAGGGAGATCACATCAGAGCACAGCCTCCTCCTTTCTATGGCACCAGGGCCAAAGTAATCAGCCAGCCTAGCCACAGAGAGAGAGCTTCCCTGAATGGCGGCCCCAGGCTCAGCCCCCACCCAGGTTTGGTTTTTATGAAGGGCTTCCCACCTCAATTTCATCACGGGCCCCATATCCAGGAGCCTCAGGGGCCCCCAAGCAGAATTATCAGGTAAAGCCTACCCATATTCCTCTTCCAGGAGGTTTCCAGCCTCGCCCTTCTGCCCTTCAGAGGCCCTGGAGCTGCCAGGTACAGACGCCCCTGGCTCTCAGACCACGTGCAGTTCTTACATAAGCAGTCCAGAAACAATGCCTCACTCTGTCCAGGTCAGGCACTGGGATACCAAAAAACAGCATAGGAGACCAGCTGCCCAGGGAGCCAGCACCTTGTTCAACCACCTGGGAGCTCCAACACTCTTGCCAGTGCCCAAAACCACACTTCCCCTGGAGTAGAGAAGCTCTGCCAAGCCCAGGGCAGGGGGTGAGGGGTAAGCCGGAGTGCAGGGAGCAGAATTGCTGCTCAGAGTCCCAAGTAGGAGCCAGGGCCAAGGTGTCCGAGTGAGCTTTCAGAGCATACACCACATTTATCTCCTAAAGTCACACATCCCTTGGCGAGCTAACATTCCTGGATGCCTATTATGTGCTGGCATTGTGCAGGAGGCTGTCTTTCCATGCACCACTTTGTTTGCCCCTCACAATATCTGCTGAAGAGGGTCTATTTCACAAACAAGGAAATGAAGGGTCAGAATAGCTAAGTATTCGCCCAAGGTCATCACTCATGGAGTATACATTCAGACATGAACCTGGCTCTTTCTGTCTGCAGAGTCCAAGATCTTGCACCCTGCAGGAAACGGTCCTTCACCTTCTGAGTGGTCAGCCCAGAACCTCTCACGCTGGAGTTGGGAGAGGGAGAAACGGGAGGAAAGTGTGCTCCAATTAGGTCATCCTGGACATCAAAATAACAGAGGGCTGTTCCACCCGAGGGTTCTGTCTGCCTAATTTTCCTCTGCCTCCTTGGCCATGTCTTGCTTCTTTTTCTCAAAACTAGATCAGATAAGGCAGGCCTGATGTCTTTTGTATTTCTGTATCCCCATCTGTGGGATACACATCTCACTGGATACACTGCAAGGATACACTGCCTTGCACACAGTAAGTGTTTTGTGTGTGTCCTTTGACTATTAAGAGAAGTAAGTAGTCCTTCACTGCTCTCCACTACCACTGCAAGGATAGATCCGTGGGAAGATGGGAGCCTTGGAGACATTCAGGAGAATGGGGTGGGGAGGATTTTAGGGCATGAGTGTAGGGGGCAGGTGCCCCAGAACTTCTTCCCCTAGCTCAGAGCACCCCAAACCCTGCTATAAGACTCCTCCCCAGGATACCCTCTCCAACAAAGGCTGGGGAGTCAGGTCTCCAGTTAGGTTCTCAGGAAGGAGCCCCCATCCCACCCCACCTCTAAGCCTCTTGGCCAAAGCTCTTCCCACAGGAAAGCCAATGGAAGGCTGAATCCAGATGGACCCCAGACATGGGGTCCCTGAAACCCTGCCTCCTCTCTGATACCTCCCTGGATATCCTCCTCAATTCCTTCCTTCTCTAGGCTCCCAGAGGAGGTACACTCTCCTCCCTCAGCATTTCCTACTCTAGGCTGAAATTTATCTTAGGGCTGAATAGCTTCCCTGGTCTTTGGAACCAAACATCTGGATTCAAATCATGGCTCCTTCATCTGACAGCAACGTGACCAAGGGCCAGTTACTTCACTTCTCTGAATCTCCCTCCCCACCCCACTCCCACCCCTCTACAGACACACAGAGTCACTAAGCCTACAGACTCAGAATCCAGAACCCCTGGTCATGACCCGGCTCTGACTCTTGGAACCAGATCTGGATTCAAGTCCTGGCTCCAATCCCTACTTAATCTTTTTAGGTCAGTGCCTTTATCTGTAAAGTGCAGATAGTAGTAGTACCTACCCATCTTATACCATTATTGTGAGAATTAAATGAGGTGGTTTATGCAATGTGGTCAGAAAGACTGGACACATAGGAAGCACCCAATAAGTATTAGCCATCATTGGAAATAGTTGATCAGGTTATGAAGTGCTGTGCAGTGTCTGAGGCACTAAATAAGTGCTCACTAAACAGCAGGTATGATTATCTTGGCCCCCACTAAGCTGGGATGTCCGGGAGGTGGGCTCTGGATCACATCCGTCTCTGACTCCCCAGCCGTCAGCACAGCTGCCGGGAACCAGGCAAGAGCTCCATAAATGCGTGAGCACTGGGGGTGAAGCACTTGCCCGGCTGGACAAGGAGGGTGTGAGCAGCCAGAAGCCTCCTGCCGGGAAAGGGGAGAACCGAGGTGTCATGAAAGAGAAAACAGAGCAGAAGGGTAAAGGCCGAGACGAAGAGATAACCAAGTGAAGTGAGTGAGAAAAGGAACAGGAGAGGCTGTGTCGGAGAGAGATAAGGAGGAAGGATGGAGAAGGGTAGAGACGAGGGAAAAGCCTAGGGAGGTAAAGGAGTCCTGGCGAGAGGCTCAAGGCCAGGCTGGAGCACTGGCGGGGGAGCAGGCGAGCGGGAGAGGGGCGCGCGAGCGGGCGGGACGCTGGGCGGGACGCGCGGGCCCCAGGGCAGGAGGGGCCGAGGGGGCGCCACCCTGCCTCCCCGCCATGGGGCGGAGGCCGGGCGGCCGGAGATTGGCTGGGGCGCGCGGCGAGGCCGGGGCTGGAGCCCCAAGGTGGGAGGCGCCAGGATCACTCGGTGCGCCCGGGAGCGGAGCGAGGCTGCCATCCACTCGGGCGACCTCAGAGGCAGCGGAGTGTCGGGGGCCTGCGCAGCCATGCGGGCAGCGGCGGGGGGCGCGCGGGCGGCCGCGCTGGCGCTGCTGCTGGGGGCGCTGCACGGGGCGCCGGCGCGGGGCGAGGAGTACGACTACTACGGCTGGCAGACCGAGCCGCTGCACGGACGCTCGTACTCCAAGCCGCCCCAGTGCCTCGACATCCCCGCCGACCTGCCGCTCTGCCACACGGTGGGCTACAAGCGCATGCGGCTGCCCAACCTGCTGGAGCACGAGAGCCTGGCCGAAGTGAAGCAGCAGGCGAGCAGCTGGCTGCCGCTGCTGGCCAAGCGCTGCCACTCGGACACGCAGGTCTTCCTTTGCTCGCTCTTCGCGCCCGTCTGCCTCGACCGACCCATCTACCCTTGCCGCTCGCTGTGCGAGGCTGTGCGCGCCGGCTGCGCGCCGCTCATGGAGGCCTATGGCTTCCCCTGGCCCGAGATGCTGCACTGTCACAAGTTCCCCCTGGACAACGACCTCTGCATCGCTGTGCAGTTCGGGCACCTGCCCGCCACCGCGCCTCCAGGTAGCGCTCCCGCCCCCGCCCCCTGCGCTCCGACTGCCCTTGGGTACCCGTGAGCCGGACCCCAATGGATGCCACAGCCCCCTAGACGTGCCACCTCCTCTAGACACAAATACACAGAGTCTTTGCTCAGCCCTGCATGTCCCCCGAAGCCTTCCAGCCTTCCCTCCCCAAGGAGGCCAGAGTAGTGCCTCCTTGCGGTTCTGGACGTTCAAACTGGTTCTCTCCCATTCCAACTGTTCCTGAAACCTCTCCTGGCTTTCCCTCTCAGCTTCCACCTTCCTAAGCTTCTGGAATCCTGGGGGGGGGGGGGGGGGGCAGTACTGTCACCCCATCCTGAGGCCTCCAATAAATGCCTTATCACCTCTCTCAGCCCACAGATGCCCAGGGTTGCTAAAGATGCCTTTGGCCTCAGCAGCTCTGGACCCCGGGGGCACCAAGACTAGCATCACCACCACCTGTGCTGGGATTTGGGGAGGGACGGAGGCTGGGGGAAAAGATGTAGCCAAAGACTGGGGCTAAATGCAACTCTGGCCTATGGTTTCCACCCTGCCCCTATTTCCTGCACCTGGGAACCCTAAACTCTCCCACTCTTTCCCCAGTGCCCCAGGCTGGGAGACCCCTGGGTAAGGCTCAGAGCACAATGGTGAGCAAGGTGCCAGGCTCTGCCCCTAACAAGGAGCCCTTGGGCAAGTTGAGCCTCTGTCTCCTCCTTGTAAAATAGGAAGCAATCTCAGGTTCCCAAAACTTCTGAGACCTTCTACCCCACCCCGTTCCCATTACCCCTCATTCCTCTCTGGTCTCAGCCTCCCCTTCACTGTGCACCCCCCTCATTCTTCTCCCCACTGTCTGCCAACCTCCTTTCAGAGAGAGTAAGCCCCTGTTGGACACCAGACAGGAGAATAAACAGGGGCACCAGGCAAGGAAGCTTCACCTGGGTGGCTAATATGAGAATCTAGGAAGCCCCTGGCTCTGAGACTCTCCCAAGGGGCAGCACTGCCCCTGTTTTCTATCTGACCTGGCCCCCCAAAAGCAACTGAACCCCACCACACCCCACCCACCCCTCAAAGCTAACCTCACCCATGCTATCCCCAGTCCTACACACCCACATGGGACCTGAGAGTTGAGGTTGGGTGGGGGTCTTGTGACCAGAGAGTGTTGAAAGAAGGAAAACTCCTTATTCTCAGGTTAGAAATGGGACCAGGAGGGGAGAGACACTTGCTCAAGCAGAAACAGTACGGTCCCCAGCAGAGATCCTTGCAGGGCTCCATTATTCTGGTTTTCTTGGAGCTCAAACTTGGAAGGCAGGGAAATCCCATTCTTGGAGTCCCACCTGGCTCTGCCCTCCCACTCCCACCCTCTTTGAGCCCCTCACCCTGCCATGATGGGGCAGCCCGCCAGGAGGCAGAGACACAGAGACAGGTCAGGTGCTACAGAAGAAGACGGCGCACATCATGGGTGCAGCTGCCAGGGTCATGGGGCAGTCGTGCCCACCTAGTCAGTTTCGTCCCTTCACAACCTTGTCTCTGGAATCTCACAACCACTCAGTGAGCATGATCACTACCATCATCCCGATTCCTGATGGGGAAGTGGAGGCTTGGGAGGCAGAGGTGGCTGGTCAGTGGGGGAGCCTGAACCCTAAGTTTGGCTCTTTGGCCTCTGATCCCCTCACCCCACCCCTGCTTCTCTGCTCAGTGACCAAGATCTGCGCCCAGTGTGAGATGGAGCACAGCGCTGACGGACTCATGGAGCAAATGTGTTCCAGTGACTTCGGTGAGTGTAGAGCCCACGTGGCCACTGCCCTCTCCCCAGAGAAATGTACTTTTTTTTTTTTTTGCATCCCAGGGACTTCAGAAGCCCCTCAAGGCCATGGTCCATCCCTGGCCAGGGCTCTTGCAGCCTTTCCTTGACACTGCCTACAGAGGGGCCTCCAGGATTGGATTCTCTTTGTGGGAGGCAGGCTTGGTCCAGAGATGGATGGGGGCAGCAGAGGGGAGAGATGGGCTCCAAGACGGAAGTGCAGTCCTCTGGTCCCCAGGCACCTCTGCCTAGTACCTGATGCATCTCTGGCTGGGGGTGCTGTGGTCCCCGGCCCCACAGCTTCATCCTGGAGCCTCCTCATTCCTGGGGCAGTCAGGACCTGGCTCCCATGCAGGCCACACGGCCCAGCCTGTGGTCTTTGCCCGGTCGGTTCCCGTTTTGTGCCTTAGCCTCATTGTCTCTAAAAAAGACAAAGCAACGAAACCCTTCCTGCAGCAGGTCTTTTATGTTGTTAGTCTGTTTGGGAAGAGAACATTATTACTGCAAGGTGTGTGTATGTCCAAGAGAGAAAAAGAGGGGGTGGTAGAGAAAGAAGATTTTTATAACAATGTCTCTCCCTGGGTGACCAAAGTTACTCTCTGGCTTCTCCCAGAGATGGGGACCCAGAGGCTCAAAGAAGGAGGATGCTACCCTAAGTGACCACGCCCTGCTCTATTAGGCTCTTTAACCACCCTGCCCACTAGCCACACACTCCACAAACATCCTACAGACTCCTACACATACCACAGACATCCTCTTATACACAAAAACATGCAGCACCACACTACACAGTCACACACACATTATAGAGGTGACTGCGGTGCTTCCCAACCCTGCACATCACAGTGGAGAAATCAGCACATGCTACAGAGCAGCCCCTTCCCAGAGCTGGCAGTCTAGCATTTACCAGCCCACCACCGCTCCAAACACCCCCCACACACATGCACACACACAGCCAGAAATCCTATTTAGAAGCATCCATCCCCAGAGATCACGAAGTCCAGCCCTCCTCCATCACAAGGACCCCCTCCAAGTGGTTAGCTCCACCCCCAATATTTTCCCTTCCCTGGGGAGCCCACACCCAACTCCACTCCCCAAGGAGAGCCCTCCACACTGCACCTGGTATCATGGAAAGGCACAGCCCAGATCTCAGTTCAAGCCAGGCTCTAGAATTCAGGCCCATCACCACCTCTCCAAACCTCATTTCCCCACCACACCCATTCATGTCAGGATGAAAGCTGATAATGTCTGTACAAGTCCAGCACCTGGTGGGAGCTTCATAAATATTAGAGTATACATGTGGAAGCTCCATCTCTCCAAACCCCAAGGCCTGGAGTTTCAGGCAGAGCACCAAGCATGGGGTCACCAGCATCCTAAGCAAGCCTGACCGTTCTCATGGCTGACCCACTGTCCACCCCCCCACACACACAGTGGTCAAAATGCGCATCAAGGAGATCAAGATAGAGAATGGGGACCGGAAGCTAATTGGAGCCCAGAAAAAGAAGAAGCTGCTCAAGCCAGGCCCCCTGAAGCGCAAGGATACCAAGAGGCTTGTGCTGCACATGAAGAATGGCGCTGGCTGCCCCTGCCCACAGCTGGACAGCCTGGCTGGCAGCTTCCTGGTCATGGGCCGCAGAGTAGATGGACAGCTGCTGCTCATGGCTGTCTACCGCTGGGACAAGAAGAACAAGGAGATGAAGTTCGCAGTCAAGTTCATGTTCTCATACCCCTGTTCCCTCTACTACCCCTTCTTCTACGGGGCGGCAGAGCCCCACTGAAGGGCTCTCCTCCCTGCCCCCCCCAGCCATGCCCTGTCCTGGGTCCCCATCCCCGGGGCCCTCTCTCCTCCCTGCCCCCCAGCCATGCCCTGTCCTGGGTCCCCATCCCCGGGGCCCTCTCTCCTCCCTGCCCCCCAGCCATGCCCTGTCCTGGGTCCCCATCCCCGGGGCCCTCTCTCCTCCCTGCCCCCCAGCCATGCCCTGTCCTGGGTCCCCATCCCCGGGGCCCTCTCTCCTCCCTGCCCCCCAGCCATGCCCTGTCCTGGGTCCCCATCCCCAGGGCACTCTCTCCTCCCTGCCCCCCAGCCATGCCCTGTCCTGGGTCCCCATCCCCGGGGCCCTCTCTCCTGCCCACCTGGCCTCCCCCTCCCCCGGGCTGACCAGCTGCTGCCGCAGGGCAGTTCACGCCAGGCTGTAGGAGCATGGGCCCTAAGGGATGGACACCGAGCCAGCTGTCCTTGGCCGAGGGGTTCTGGGGTCCTTGGAGGTTTGCTCCCAGAGAACCAGGCCTTTCTCAGTTCGGGGGAAGCCCCAGGGTCTCAGAAAGTAAGCAGAGAGAGCGAGGGAACGGTGCAGGGGCTTGGAGCAGCCTGAGGAGGTGGCTTCCCAGGGAGCAGGTGGTGTCAGCCTCACTGTTGGCGGTCGGGCCTCACCCAGGAGAGGGAAGTCTTGGCATTAGGCTGAGCTACTTGGGGGACAGTTCCCGGCCTCCATGCCCCTTCATGTGTCCCCATCATCGCCCCCAGAGGAAAGGGTCATGGTGCCCTCCAGCCACACTTTCCCACCTCTCCCATCTCTGCCTGTCTCTTTCCCCACTGGACTGGGGAGAAGCCCAGCCCAGCCCCCGCCCAGAAGCTCGCTCCTCAGCCTCCACATGTCCCTATATCCTGATGACCATAAATTATTGCTTCTGCTGCGAGGCCATAGATACTAGACTGATGCAGGTAGGATTTGGTTTTCTATTTTTTTTTAAGTTTTTAATTAAATCAAAGAAAACAAACAGTTGATTTTGACCAGGAGATTTCTTTGTCAGCTAGTTCCAGGAGGGAGGGCGAGGGGCCGTTCAGAAGGGACTTTGAAAAAGAGGCCTTTTTGTAACCCACGGTCTGTCCACACAGACATACTTGGAATGCCTAAAAAGAGCAATTCCCATGTTTTTGCAGGATCCACTGAGAACACACAGCAAGGGTAACCCTTCTTATCCTCACAATGAGACTAAGTGAGCAATGGGGATGACTATCCTTTTGTCTCAGAGGAAGGGCAGAAATGCCAAGTTCCCCAGCCTTCTCCCATACTCAGAATATTCCCGTGGTCCTGCAGCATCTCCCTGACATGGGCAGTGCCCACTCTGAGAAGCCCCCAAGAGGCTGGGCCAGAGGGAACTACTCTGAAGGGCCAGAGGCCTAAACATGTCACTCCTACCCCTTCAGAGCTCAGACACCCCTGGACACTGGACCTGTAGGAGATGGTGGCTTGAACAGGTGCTACTCCAAGCTGGTCCCTGGAGCATCAGTATTGCCTGAGCTGGTGAGAACTACAGAAGCTCAGACCTTTAACACTTTGAAGCATCTGGGGAGCTTTTACAAAAAACTAGGCCCTACGTTAAAGCAATTAAACCTGAACCTCTGGAGGGTGCTCCGAAATCAGCATTTCCAGGTGCCCCCTGGGTGGTGTGAAGCCAGGGCTGAGAACTTCCATCCGGATAAGCTAACGGCTGAGGCCAGAGGAGGGTAAGGGGCTGAGCTTCTTCAGGCTGGAGGAGTCCTGGTCCTGCTTGCCGGGAGGGGACCAGCTCTAATGCTTCCAGGGGCTTCTTCGATGAGCTCAGAGCAAAGGCAGGCAGCTACCTTGAGCTGGATGAGGCAGCAAGGGGAGAAGCCTTAAAACGGAGGCGACAGGCTACTGTCACTCAAATGTCCAGAATATGGGAGGGATGATGCCAGGAAAGCGTCCTGGGGTACCATCGGCAGATGCTGAGGGACAGGACAGATGTACTCAGAGCAGGGAGCCGCAAACACCCTTAGAGCTTTCCTCACCAACTGGGGTTCAGCTGGGATGCCACATCCAATCAAGACCTGCTGCTCATCCAAAACAATGGAGCCACGTTCTCTCTCGAGATGAGGAAAAGCCCTGGCTTGCTCCCGCAGCTCTCAGAGAAGCGAGAAACGAAGAGGCCAGTGCCAGCTAACAGGTGGTCTGACAGCCAGCCATAAATCACCCCCCTGGCAGTCAGGTGGCCCCACCACAGGTCAGAAGCGGCAGAGGCCCGCTTGTTTCTCCTCCCTCTGAGGGCGCCACTGCCGCCCACCCTCACCCAAAGCCTGCCCAGCCCACCTGGCTCCCTGAATCCACCCCTTGTCTCCCAGCCTCCTACCCCGACCAAATATTTATGGACACTTCTATGGTCAACCAGGACCAGGAATTATTTTTCCACTGAATACACAGGGCTCGGGCTGCCTCTGGCCGGAGCACAATACTGACCTCTGTCAGGTGCTGGCAGCCCGAGAGAGGGAGCGGGCGGGGAGGGGCTCCCTGAGCCCATCCTGGGGAGGCCCCGGCAAGGCGCGCCTCACCCACCCCTGCAAAGGCAGCGGGCCCCGCTCTGCACCTCACCTCTGTCCCCAACACCTGCTGTCAGAGCCCCCAGGACTCTCTTCCCTGGGGCCAGACACCCAAGAGGCCCAGCAAGGCCTGAGCCCTTGCTCATCCTGTCCAGCCACAGAACACTCCCTCCTGGCTAGCCTGAGACAGGCAGCGGGGGCTGCCCCACGGGCATCTGCACTGCGTGTCGGTGACTGTGGAGAGCAGAAACCCCCAGAGACAGCGGGGCTCCCCCATGCAAGGGGGTCTGGAGCTGGGAGGTCCACGTCCTAGGCTCGTTCTGTCTTCCTGCTCTGCCTGGGGGTGGTGCCTCCTCCTCCCAACTTCTCAGCCACATTCCAGGGAGCAAGGCAGGGAAGGGCTAAGAGCAAAAGCTGCCCGTCAGCTGCCTCTGGCCCTTTTGATCAGGAAAACAGTAATTTCCCAACAAGTCCCACCTGGTAGATTTCCACTTCTCACTCACCAGCCAACACTCAAGTCACATGGCCAGCCCCAGTTGCAAGGGAGCAAGGAAGTCAAGTGTTTCAGTTGAGGACAAAATGAGCATTCTGATAGCGAACAGAAAGGATCTGGGGAAGGCCTCCAACACTCAGGATTGGGCAAGAAAGCCAGCAGAGCCCAGCTCTGGGTTCCGATGCTGTGACCTCACGACCATGTGCCACTGGGACCAGCACCCAGCCGGAAAACGGAGTAATCATGTCTACTTCACAGGCTGGCCGAGCGTTAAGTGGAGAAATGCATGAAAAAATACCTGGAAACAGGGCCCAGCCATTTAGAAATGTTCATTAAATAGTCATTAGTATTTTTATTAACCAAAGGTCTTGACCTAGCACAGTGCTTGCGCAAAATAAGTGCTTATTAAATTCCTAATTGATTTGTTAACCAACTAAGAAATGCTTCTGGCAGGGAAGGCAGGAACATCTAAAGGCCATAATTGTTACTTCTAGAAGGGGGAGAGAGTCTACATTTGGGGTTTCATATCAGAAAATACATACCTGGGTATGTAGGGCAGTAGAGGGGAGAAGACATATAATAAATACTACACTAGCCCTCAGTATATCAAGCCCATTAATATATAAATAACCAAGTACTTTGGCATTCTTTCTTAAACGTCCCAGTGTAGGTACTATTATCCCCATTTGTTATTTTTTAATTAATTGTTTAATTTGGCTGCACCGAGCAGCATGCAGAATCTTCAGTTCCTTGACCAGGCACTGGACTTGTGCCCCCTGTGGTGGGAAAGTGCAGACCCTAACCACTGGACCGCCAGGGAATTCCCCATCCCCACACTAATGATGAGGTGGCCCAGTGGTAAAGGACCCACTTGCAACCCAGGAGACCTGGGTTCGATCCTTGGGTCGGGAAGATCCCCTGGAGGAAGAAACGGCAACCCACTCCAGTATTGTCTGGGAAATCCCATGGACAGAGGAGCCTGGCAGGCTACAGTCCACAGGGTCACAAAAGAGTCGGACGCGGCTTAGCAACTAAACAACAATTTTAATGATGAGGAGGCTGAGGTTCAGAGAAGTTAATGAACTTATTGAAGGACACACAGCTGTACTTAGCAGTGTAGTGAGGATCTGACCCCCACGCTCTTAACCCTGGGGACTACTGCCTACAGGGGGCAAAGCTGAAGACAGGGGGGCAGGATCGGTGTGGAAGCAGCTGTGCTTCTGTTACCCTACCTCACAGGAAGATTTTGGGGGGCCCCTGCTCAGATCCCACTCCAAGGGTGCTAAGAGCAGCAGAGAGGCCAGTCTTGAACACCCCCCTCAGTCCTCCTCCCCTCTCAACCCGTCAGCATCCAGCCTCTTGGGTCCCACAAAGGAAGCTCACATCCCACAAGTGTTCAGTTGGCTGTAATCCTGGCTAAAGTTCACTCCTTGGGAAATCCAATGTGGGGGGTGGTTGTTGCTGGAATGTGTGTGGCTGGGACCCAGTGTCCCAGCTCAGACAGCAGGCTCTGCTGGGGCCAGGGGGACCCGGAATCCCCAGCCCCCAGCTGTGCCTGAGAATGGAATGTGCTGCTCTGGGTGTTGAAAAAGACTCAGCCAGGGAGGTGGGGCAGTGCTGGGAGCTGGGGGAACTCCTGCCACAAGACTGCCTCTGTTCCCCTGGAGGCTGAGCCCACTTCACTAGGGCTGGTGGTGGGCAGGCCCCTTCCATCAGCTCAACACCTCAAAAACTCCTGGAGTTTGTGGGGGGAAGGCAGAACAGAGGGTAGGTGACAACCAGGACTGTTATGGTGACCCAGTTTTTCTCTGGTGCCCAGAAGCACCTGTGACACAGTTCCCACGAGGGCTCCATGGTTTACTAGCTATGTGACCTTGGGCAAGTAACTCAACTCCACTTACTCATTGGTTAAGTTAATAACAGAACCTAGCTTTGGGGACTCTCGTGAGGTTTAAATGAGATGACACACTCAGCATACTGCCCACTACGCGTGCTCAATAAACACGGGTACTATGATCTTAAAGCCACCAGCTGCAGGAGAGATGCTGGAACCAGGGCCCCTTGATGCCTCAAAGGTTCCATAGAGACAAAAAGATGATACTGGTGGTTCTCTTGGCTTCAACTCTGAGGGCTAAGTGACCAACGACCACAAATTCGGAAGACCCCAGAAACCAGGACCAGTTCAAGGTCTGCCAAGGATCACTGGAGACTGCTCCCCACCAAGAACAGTCCACAAAAAATGATGGACAGAACCCTCAACCCAAGTCAGGCTGTGGGAGCTGGCTGTCCACCCAGGTCTACCCAGCAGGCCCCAGGGCCGTCCTAGACCTGGCTCCCGTCCCCTCACTGGGTCCTCGAGAACAAACCGAAAGGCATCTTTAACACCAGGCATCCAATTCTACAATGGACAACCTGCCCTTTAGGCTATACCGCCTTCGGTGCCCCCTATGCTGTAGACCCCAGAGAGCTGGAAGGCACCACCTACTCCTCGTAAAACCCTCCAGGGCTCCATTCTCCACTTCCCAGTGGTACCTGCACTTTAACGCTGTCCATTGCTGGCCTGCTCTGAGGCCCTCACATGCACCTCAAGGGGACAAGGTACCCTTCCTTCTTCACTGAACCCAGATGATGAAAACCTTGTTTCTCACGACCCTGAATCCTATGTCCTGAAAGCTCTTCAAGTTATAGTCTGTATTCCACCAACATTAGACATTGTTTTCATTTTCCCAACATAAAATATTGACTCTGCTTTTTCAAACTACAGTCTGGCCTCATTCTTTCCTGAATAATAATCTATAATTATTCTCTGGTTTTAAAAAAAAAATCGCTGTTCTAAGCCATGCTGGGCAGAGTTGTTTTGCTATTCCTGAAGACTGCCAGGAAGAGAGAAATAAGCTAGCGTTTATTGAGCATTTACTATGTGCCAGGCACCTAACTTCCCACCTAAAGTGGACTGTCTTATTTAATCCTCACAGCAACCATATGAGATAAGAGACCACTCTCCACCCACTTTACAGATAAGTAAAGCAGCACAGACAGGCTTGGGGGCAAGCCTCCCCCTGTAGCAACTCACTCCAGCGTGGGTGCCGTCCATGTAGAATAGGGCCAAGTGTGGAGCTGGCCCCTCATAGCACCTGCCTTTACTGCCACTGGGATGCTCCCTGGCTAGTGCACACTGCTCCGGCTCTGAGGAAAGCCCCTCTGGCTTCATCCTCCAATGTGGTGGGGAACTGCATCTTCACGTGGATGTAGTGTGGCTCCCGCAGTGAGGGGCTGGACTGGATTAACTCTGAGCCTCCCTCCAAGTGACCAACCGGGACACACACCCTCCATGAGAAGAACTTCCTTCCTGGGCCTGTGCTCTTTTGCTCAAAGACCCTATTTTCCACTCCTCCCGCATTTCCTCTGGACTACCAAGCTGCTGAAGCCACTTTGGTACTAAGTACTGTGAACATGCTCTTCTGTCAAAACTGCCAGAGCAAGGTTCCAGCTGCTTCCCTGCCTCCTGTGGCTCCTCAGGAGCTGCTGGGGCTCTCTCACACTAGGGGGAGGTCCCAGACCAAGGCCTCAGTGCAAGGACTCCCCAAGCATCACAGTCCAAGGTGCACGTGCATGGGGTCATGAGGATGTGGCTGAAACCTGACCTCGACCCCAAGGCAGTCTCTCGGCCCCCACTTTACTGCCTCAGGCCTACGGTCTGGAAGACATCACTCGCAAGACTCCATGCCAAACCTTTTGCAGCCACTACTTAACTTCCCTGGGCCTCAATTTCTTCCCCTGTAAAATGGGAAGAAAAACAGAACCTACCTCATAGGGCTATCTTGAGGATTAAATGAAATAATGTGTATGAAGCACCTCTCACAGTGCCTGGTGCCCAGCAAACAAACACCCCCCCACCCCCTACCCCCAGAGCACAGCTCCCATTTCCCATCTCACAGCCAATCCTCTTTCCGGCTGGTTCTCAGCCTCCCCCAGAGTTGATCCTTTCCTGCTTTCTCAGAGGGATTAGCTAAAATCTTTCCATTCTAAAGCCTGCGTGGCTTAGCATTTACCAAGTTCTGGTCCTAACCCCAAGCCCTGGCCCTCACAATGTGGTCACAAGACGGCGCCTCAAGTCAATCCGACAGGCATCTCGCTGAGTGCCTCCTGCGCAAGGCACAGCTTTCCTCCAACCCCAGCTCACACACGACCTCAGCCTCCATGGCCCCTCCGCCCCATCCTGAAGACACAGCCCAGGCCTGCAAACCTGGCCAGCACTGGGGGGAACCTGGCTCTCCAGCCTCAAGGAGAGGGGAAAGGCAAGGACCAGAACGAAAACACAGAAAGCTTGAGGCCTTTTTATTGACAATTCTCCATATACAAAGACATCCTTGTAGTTCCTCTCCAGTGTAAATAAAGCATGAGCACTTAACTCATATCTCAACAGGACCAAGGAGCTTGAGGACGGGGGTCTACCAAGGCCTGCCTGGTTCCTCAGGGACTTGCCCCTCTGGGCCTGGGGCAGGCCCCTGGCTCTAGACTGGCTGGCCGGGAAAGAAAGCTGGCCTAGGATGAGCCCTGACTCCCAGCCTGCCTCCTCACATCCCAGCTGAGAGTACAGAAACGTCTCCACCTCCCAGGCCCTGAGTCCCAGGCAGCCCATGAGTCCAGGGGAGCACCCTGGCCCCCAGGGCAGAAGAGGGCCCCCATCCTCCTGATCCCATTTCCTGTGCCCCATGTTCCCAGGAATCATGCAATAAATAAATAAATACTTCAAAAAGGCAGGGAAGCTCCTGGGGAAGGAAGGGGTGCCTGAGCCCGCTCATGGCTTAGGGAGAGACACTGAGCCCTTAAGAGTCCAGGGTGAACACAAAACTGTTGCAGACAGGATGGGCACCCCAGGTGGCCTTATCCCATAACTGAGGCTGTCCTGCTGGAGATCAGCCCTGGAATCTGAGACCAGCCTAGCGAGACCCCACACTTCCCAGGCCCACAGAGGTCAAGAGCTTCAGGATCTCTGCTGAGTTCATCTGACCTCACATTCACTCCATGGGACAAAGGGCCAGTGAGGGAAGCTGTAGCTCTAGGCCAGAGGAGGTGGCCATGGCTCTGAACATGGACAGCAGGAGTGACTGAGCGCCCAGCGTCTACCCGGCAGAGCTGAAAACACTAGGATAACATGTGGGCTGACAGTCTGTAAGACAAGGTCTCTGCGAGGTGGGGCTGAGGCCCTCTGAGCTGCTGAGGCTCCCCGTGTTTTGCTCTGCTTAATACTGAAGGGTTCTGCCAGGCCCTCCTCTGAGAGAATCTGGGAACTTTGACCCTGTTTCTAGAAGTACTTTTGGTCTTGATAGCCCTGGCCATGCCCTCTGGCGGGGAAATGAGCTCCTGACGCCTGCAGGAACACTCGAACAGTAGAACTGGGACACGGTGCAAGTCCTTCTGCAGGCTCTGGGAGGGCAAGGGCCTGGCCCAGTACCCAGCGGGGGAAGAATCGCTTTTCCTAATCTCTGACCTCCGGCCTCAGAGAACTCCCAGGCATGCAGGGATGCCCAGAAGACCAGTCCAGACCAGGCCTGGCTCACTGCTGCCCTCTAATTTCTATTTCCCGCCCAGCCCTGAGTTCCCTAACACCCAGAACAGAGCAAGGCAAACATGCCAGTCCTGGTTGGGGAGCAACCACTACTGGCCATCCGCAGGAGTGGAGGACGGCTCCAGAACCCGGATGCAGACAGCGGGGGCAGGGAGGGGAAGCCTACCTAGCATTCAGACCACATCTGCCCAAGGCTAAGGGTGGGGAGAGTAGGGTCTACTGTTGGCCCCGGGGACAGGCGGCCTCATGGACCCTGGCCCTTCTTCTCACTTGCTCAAGGTCTGGTTACACGAGGCACACACAAACACAGTCTCTCTCTGGGCTTCAGGGGCTGAAAAGGAGGAAGAACTTGGTGAGATGCTTCCTCATGCCCTCTGGCTCATTGCCCCTCCAACTGGAACCACCTCCCCTCCCCATCCCACCCCACCCCACCCCACCCCACCCCAAGCCCCACACAGACCACCCTCCCCCAGCCTACAAGCTCACTGTCCCAGCTCACGCACTTGCCCTCAGAGACTTCTCTTTCCACGGGACCTGGGGGTTCCAGGAGTGACCATGCCAACAGCAAGCCTCTCCCAGATGTTCTATGCATTAGACATTATTTTGGCACCAAAAGAATAACTTTTAAAATGCTTTTTAAAATAAAATACCAGGAGAAAATTTTCCAAAATGTTTTAACAGTGGTTATTATCTCTGGGTGGTAAGATTACAAGATTATTTTTCTCTTCCTTCTTCTTCTGTATAGTAATTTCCAAATCTTCTAGAATAAGCATATGTAACTAGCATGACCAGAAGAATGAAAAAATAAAGAGACTCAATTTAACATTGCAACATATTACAAAGCAGTCTGTAATACATGCTCCCTCTTTTTTAAGCACATGCATATGAATTTATCCTATGTGTGATGGCATTAATGACCCAGACGGGTCCACGCCTAATAATTCTTTCTGAGAGAGATTAGGAATGTCTTCCTTTCTTTGGTTTTTTGTTTTGTTTACAATGAGTATGTATGGCTTTTATTGAAGGAAAAGAAATTATGCTTTTTATTTTATTAAAAACATTACCAAGGCAATGAAAAAGATACTAAGACTGAGGATGGTGGTCTCCCTGGGGAAGGCAGGCGTGGAGCTGGGGAGCCAGGTGAGACTGCCCACACTTTATCTTCTAACTGCAGTGGTCAGTGGTATGCACTACTGGACTTCATAATTCAGATACATTATATATATATATGCTCTTGTCCATGCAGCAAATATTTCCATTTTTCCTTCCTTAATGGGAGATGGAGGACACCCCGAGCTCCCTGGACCTCTCACTGGCCCTGGCTCCTTCCCACATGCAGCACCCCTCTTAGAAGAGAGAGGCGGACCCCAAGCCCAGCCTGCCCCACTCACCTGTGGCCCCCATGGAGGACCTGGGCACCTTGAAGGAGCAGCACCGAGAGCAGAAGCTGTTTCCACAGTTACTGCAGTTCCGCTGCGGATGAGAGCCAAGGTCAGTCTCCGATCCCCACCCCCGGGGCACTGGGAACAACCGTACGAGTGGGGCAGTGCCTGAGCAGGGCAGGACTGAGACCAGAAGGGACATCCCACGGGAAGGCTGGTGAAGGCGTGGACACAAGGGAGGGCAGACCTGCTCCTTCGAGGAACCATCCGACCAGACACCAGGCCTAACGTGGCCCAGGGAGTCAGACTTCACCTTTGACGTGGCACTACGCCCCTACATCTCGTCCCAAGTCCCCAGCAAACGCACCCTCGAGGAGACTTACCCTCTTCTTCAGCACTGAGAAGGTTGCCGAGCAGCCCGTACAGCTCCCTGAGAAACAGAGGCAGCAGCTCAGCTCTGACCCAGCCCAGACATCTCAACTCTCACCTGCTCCTGGGTCTTCTACATGGGGACACTAAGGGCGCCAGCCCAGCCCAGCCCCTTGGCTGGCAGGGCAAAGTCCACAGCCAGAAGGAGAGGTTCAAACCACGAAGGAAAAACCGATGTCCCAGACTACACACAGCTGCCGCCCCTGCTCCCACCGGGGTTTAGAGATCTCCACGCCCACCTGCAGGTCCAGCCCAAATAGAAGGGCATCCAGCAGAACCTCCCCCTGAAATGACACCAAGCTGGGAGGGACCTGACAACAGGCTTCACTCCAATGATCTGAGATGAAACCTGCCTGACACGACCCCTTCCAAAGTATCTTCTTACAAACACTCTGCCCATAGCTAGAGGGAGAAACACCTCCTGAACACCAGACTCCTGCTTCCTGTCATCTGAAGATTCCAGGACAGTTCAGAACCAAGTGCCAACCAAGAAGACTTGCAGGGCAAGAGGTGAAGTTCAGAACCAGGTGCCAACCAAGAAGCCTTGCAGGGGAAGAGGTGCAGGCACGTGTGTGGTGGGCAGGCCAGGATGGATACCACCGGGGAAGAGATCCTGCCTAAGCTACCAGATACAACAGGACCACAAGGGTTCAGACCAGGTTGCAGAAGAAGCAACAGCAGCTTAGAAAATAGCTGGGAGGAGGCAACAGGGGTGCAAGAAGAGATGAAGATGGGGAAGAGAGGACTGATCATTCTTTTTTCTTTTCCCCTTTCTTGGCCATATCACAGAGTATGCAGGATCCTAGTCCCCTGTTCAGGAATTGAACCCGTGTCCCTGCAGTGGAAGTGTGGAGTCCTAACCACTGGACCATAAGGGAATCCCCCCGATCATTCTTTGAGAAACTACATCAAGGCAAAGGGACTTAACAGAAGCTGTGCTTGCTACCCACCCATGCTTGCAGGAAAATTAAAGAAGGAAAGGTAGGCTGCGACAATGACACAGCCTGATGAAGGGCGTACATGCAGCCGAAAGAAAAAACCCAAAAGGATGGAGGAGAGGAAAGGCCACGCTGGGCCCTTATGACTTCCAACAAGCTCCTGAAGCAGAAGCTAATGAGAACAAGGATGTCCCAAGGGCTGCTGCCAGAAATACTGACCACAGTTCAGCGCAGATCTCCATGCAGATGGGGGTCACTGAGCGAGGGGAGAAAAGGCCGGGGTCCACACGAAGCAGGAGGGTGCTTACGACAGGGGACCAGAGAGCCCAGCCAAAGGTTGTGGGAGGGAAGGAAGCTGGTCTGGGTCCTGGAAAAACCCAGGAGAGGACAAGACTACTGAAGGACATTTCAACAACTTGGGGCCTGAAGGCCTCCTATGATCCGATCAGAGCCAATTACTAGGTTCAGGGTACACGGCCGGGCCTCCAGGACCACCTGTCTGGCCAGGTACAGAGCACCAGGCCTCACCTTCACACAAAGGCCCAAAGAGATGTGGTCCCTCCCTCTGTCCAGCCAGAGTCCCCCACAGCTCTCACTAAAGGGGGACACACAGCCTGCACTGGAGGACAGGGGACCCAGCTAGAGCAGGGAGAAACCTGACACCAGTGGGTGTAAGGGAGATGCTGTTGCTGTGAGTCAGCTCACGACCCAGGCAGAGCAGAGGAGACAGGAGAGCATAGCGCATCGCCGGCGGGTGGTCCCACCCCAGGAAACAGGCTGCTCTGGGACTCTGCCCCCAGCACTAAAAATCAGAGAAAGGCAGCCCACCTCCGCCTCTCCTCCTCAGCAAGCAGCATGCACCAAGGGAAAGAGCCGGGTCAGAGACTGACACTCTGACCCCTCTCAACTGTAAGGAGTAACAGCGCCAAGCACCCCAAGGCAGTCACGCGGGCTAACAGAACAGTCACGCACCACGCGGGGCCGGGGCCAGGGCCGGTTCTGCATGCTGACACTAGCTTAGGCAAGCATGTGGAGGAGAGAACCCCTATTCCTTGCCAAGACCTACCGACTCTTCCTGCCTGTTTTCAGCAGAGGTCCTGGTTCATCATGTGAGGATGCCCCAGGAGCAGAGAGAGCAGAGACGAACCTGAGACCACTGCCAGGGCGACAGTCACAGAGCCTCCAGGACAGAGGGGGCTCTTCCCAGTAGGACTCCCCAACTTGGAGGCCATGGAGAGGCTCATGAGCAGCCTGCCCTCACTACCCCCATGGATCCCCCACCATCCACTGGCAGCCAAAACAGAACAGCCCCCAGAGCAGCTCACTCACCCAGCCCTTCAGGATGCAGACCCCAGAACAAAGATGCTATACCTGCCCTCACAGCCAAGAGCCCAACGATACATCAAGGAAGGGACAGCAAGCAGTCCTGAGAGCGGAGGGCTAAGGGGGGCTTAGGAGAATAATTGTCTTCTGCCTTCGCCATCTTCGGGGGAACCTGACAAGCCTTCACCCATCTCGGTAGGGATTATCTGAACCAAAAGCCAAATACAGAAATGGGATAGGCATAAAACCGGGGCACTTCAGACACCAGGGAAAGGGAAGAAGGTGAGCTAGAAAGAATGAGGGAGTGAGACCAGATAAGGTGGATCTGAGTTACAACTCAACCGGGTACTGGCTGAAGACTCTGGCCAAGTCACTCTTTCCAACCTCAGGTTCCTCACCTATAAAGTGGGAACATCTAAGGGGCTTTATTTAAAACTCACAAATATAAAAGTACAGGTTGCCAGAACAAGAGCATTAAGTCTGGCCTAATGACATCTGGGACTTCTGGAACCTGGCTGCTTCCAAGGACTAAGTGAGATGGTGTATGTCAAAGCACACTGGACAGAGAGCAGTCGGCAGCAGTCAGCGACCAGCAGAGATAAAAGCAAGGGGTCCTGAATGTCTGGAGGCACTCACAGAGCAGAAAGAAACAGGGTGTCCCAGGATGTCTAACACTCAGGAAACAACTGCCCTGGTCACTGCAGGAGCAGGAAGGCAAGCCCTGGAGCGCCCAGGTCAAACACCTCACGATAAACCCCAGGGGCTTCCTCGGAACTCTCTCCCACCAGACCTCATGGCACAGCCAGCCCATCCTTCTCCCTGTCTGCTGACAACAGGCAGAAGCAAGGCTCTGCTTCAGGACCAGGGAGACCCCTGAGTCTCTGCTTCTCCAGGCTCCAGTTATAACTTTGTCTGGCTTGGCTCCCGCTCTCCTGATCAGAGCCAGGCCTCCAAGCTTGTTAGTCAGCTCAGTTCTGTCTGACTCTTCGCAACTTCATGGACCAGAGCCCTCCGGGCTCCTCTGTCCACAGGATTTCCCAGGCAAGAATCTTGGAGTGGGTTGCCACTTCCTTCTCCAAGGGACTCTCCTGACCCAGGGATCAAACCTGGGTCTCCTGCACTGCAGGAAGATCTTTACCACCTGAGCCACCAGGGAAGCCCCTCCAAGCTGTGAGGACAGTCAAGTCCACCTTTCTCCAAGGTCACATTCTTGGACCCACCCCACAGTCAGCATAATGAGGACAGGCCAATCTATGGACTTGGCTGGGGAGAAGGGAAGCCAGGGCTCTCTCATCCCCAGAAGACAGTGCTTCCTTCCATTTGCTTCCAACTGGACTGGAAAGATCCAAACAAGTGCCTAGGCACCTGAGGGAAAGACCAGGGCCTCTGTGCCCCTTATGAAGCACTTGCTATGAACCAGCCAGCAATGTGCCAGCACTTAATAAGTATTATCTCTTTTGAGACCTAAAACAACCCTGTGAGATAAGAACTTGTACTATTCCCTTTTGTCATTGTTTAGTCGCTCAGTCGCATCCGACTCTTTGCGACCCCCTGGACTACAGCACGCCAGACTTCCCCATCCTTCACCACCTCCCAGAGTTTGCTAACATTCATGTCCACTGAGTCGGTGATGCCATTCAACCATCTCATTCTCTGCCGCCTCCTTCTGTTGCCTTCAACCTCTTCCAGCATCAGGGTCTTTTCTAATAAGTCAGCTCTTTGCATCAGGTGGCCAAAGTATTGGAGCTTCAGCATCAGTCCCCTTTTACAGAAGGAAAACTGAGGCACGGGGAAGTTAAATAATTTGCTTAAGGTCACCTGGCAGCACTGGGGTTTACCTGGACACTCAGACTCCTCACTCAGCCAGCACAGTCCACAGCCTGCTGTGGCTCTACCTGCCTCAGGTCCCAGAGGAGCACTTCCAGAACTGAACTCATCTTCCCACAAGAAGTAATGAGGACAGAGACTCGAGAAGGAACCCATGCTCCCTCCCTCGCAGCTCTGCGGTGCCTGTGCTACCCCCCTAGGGTGCCACGGACACAGCACTGCTCCTCAGAACACAGCACCTCTGCCCCGCGGCCAGGACGCCTTCCGCCCGCCCTCCCCAGCCGTACCCAAGTTGTTGGTCGGGTACCGCTTGCGGAGCCGCTCGGTGAGCCGAGACACCTTGCTGCGCAGCACCTCATTCTTGCTCAGGAAGCCGTTGTCCTGCAGGACCAGATCGTCCTCTGCTGGGCACGGGGCCCCCTCGTCATCCTCCTGCGGGAACAGCTCCTTCCAGTCCTGTCCCTTTGTGACAGGGCTCTGGGACCTGCGTGCGTGGCAAACCCCGCGAGGCGTGGCGACCTCGGCTCAGTCACCCTTTCCCAACCCCCCAGCCCCTGCCCACCTCACCAAGGCTCCTACTTACCAGCACCACCAAGTGGGTCTCCTGCCTCCCAAGGTGCGGGGGAGAAGAAAAGAAAACAGAGAGAAGATAGCAAGAAGGAAGCTGCCGGGAGGGGTTCCCCCAAGCAAAAGGAAGCACAGGAATGCTACTACACTGACTCTGAGCACGTACTGAAGGGCGATGTTAACAGAGACCCCATTAAGGATCCCAACATCAATCAGTTGGGGAGAAGCTGCATACTCAAGAGTCACGACTTAAGAGTCCACAGTCGTACATTCAGGTTTTGGAGAAATCTCAGCAGTAGAAAATGGAAACGCCCATGTGGATGAGGCTACGGTAACAGTAGAGCCAGCTGGGTGAAAACCATAGGCCTGGAGGAAACTCCCAAGACCTCCATTTCCTGTATCCCCCACTTTACAAGAGTCACAAAAAGAAGTGAATTCCTACTATTTAAAAAAACAAAAGCCATAGAGCAAACATGACAATAAATGGCAAATGCCACCAGGACTCAGTGACCGGGGATGACAGGAACCAGTGGGCGGTGGGGATTATGTGACTTCTCTGAAGGAGACAGTCCCTCCTCAGCTACACTGACCGCTGCAGACTCAGGGCTCCCAGAGCTGCTGAGTTTTTAGAAAAACTGAAAAATCCAGAGTTTTTGCTATAGTCTCTCCAATTTTTAAGTATCGGCTAAAAAATTAAAGCTTTGCGTGCCAAATAAAACACTTCTGCAAACTACCAGTGTGAACCATTGTCCTAAAACTAGGCAGACTGTTGAACTTTCTCCAACCCAGCACTTGGCCATGCAACTGCCTTCTCCAACCTCCCATTCTCACCCCTCAAAGGGACATCTGACGGACCTCATCCTTCAGAAGAGCAGGCAGAGACCGGAGCAATGTCCTCCTCCAACTCTGCCTGCCCCACATCAAAGGCGCCAAGCCCACAGTCTCCAGCCAAGGCAGTAAACGACCCACCTCCCCCAGTGGGGCGTTTCCCAGAGGCCTCCAGAGCCACCCCTGCCCTGGGCACCCAGGACAGATGCCAAGGTCAGCAAGAGGACGGGCAGAGGTTCGGTGGCATCCTTTTAACCAGTGAGTCTGAGTGCAGGGCACATTTTACCTTTTCACTTGGATATAAAAGAACTCTAAAAACCCAGACTTGGAATGTGAGAGGCCACACGGCTCCAGGACCACCCAACTTCTGACTTGGTCAGTTGAGGGTGCTGGGGAAGGCCACCCACCTCAATCGCATCTTTAAACTCCTCGTCGGGCTCAGCCTCCTCCGCCTCCTCCACACTGCCTGGCGTGAGGTCCTGGGAAGAGAGAACCTTCAACAGCCAGAGCAATGACAGCCCTATCCCCAGGGGAGAGGCCACCTCCCCAGATCCAGCATCCAGGTTTCTCAAAACAGCGGTTCACGCCTCAGAGGAAATGGCACAACTGCCGGAAAGAAGGAAGTCAGGGGAAAGAGAGCGGTCTCCACCCGAGCAGGACAGAGAGAGGGACCACGGCCACGAAAGGACCGACAGTGGCTGGAGAACATGGTGGCTGAGAGCAGGAGCTCTGGAACCACAGGGCACGGTCTGAGTCCCAACCCCACTGGCTTCGGACAACTACCTTGTGCCTCAGTCTTCTCTTCTACAAGGAGAATCATCTCATTCCCAGAATACCCTACACCTCAGGGGTCTATAAAGTACTTGAACAGCAGAGTAAACACTCAACAAAGCACAGCTCTTGCTACCACAGTTATTACTATTAAGCACTTCAGGGGAGGCGGGGCGGGGAAGGCGGAGGCCAGCCCAGCAGCTATACAGTATAAGCAGGCTGGTAACAGGGAAGCCAGGCAGTCTGCCCACACCAGCCTCTGCCCGGACGGTTAGGGGCGCTCACCTCTGTGGGCGTGGGCGCCGGAGTGCAGTCCCCCAGAGCGCCCTTCCCCCCAGCATCTGATGGTGGCGGGCTCTCGAAGGCACTCTCTTCCTGCTTGGGGTTCATCCGCCGCTGCAGAGATGCCCTATACTCAGACACCACTGCCCAGGGTAAGGAGAATGGGGCGGGAGGCAGAAACAGGATGGAATGAGTGGTGTTCTGGGGGTACCCACCACTGCACCCGGCTGCCTCCTCTGGTACCCACTCTCGGCTGCAGGAAACAGTCACCCTCCTAAGTCTGAACAAGTTACCTAACCTAAGCCTCATAAACAAGACAGATATACCAACACCTACCCCAGGAGATTGTTAAAGAGAGATTAAATGCAGTAAGTGCCCGATAAATCATGGCTTCTATAATTAATTTCCAACCACAGGGAAGAAAACAAGCATAGCAATCACCCAAACATATGTACAGGCCCAGGCATCTGCGACGCAAGGCCTCAGCAGACTGCCTTACTGCTTCAGAAACCGCACGGCAGAGGGGTACTCTGGGATCACACAGAGACGAGGCAGTGATTCCTGGGGACTGCACCCTGGAGGTGGGTGGCAACACTGGGAAAACATCCCTCCCTCGTCTCCCAGAAGCCACCATATCACGTGGGCAGGGATTCAGCTGCCTGGGGAAGGGAAAGGGACCCCTAGTAGCAGCCTCCATGGATCCCACCTCCCTCTCCAAGGGAGGACCCTGGTGTGGTGCTGCCCCCTTGTGGCAGGCACAGCAAACACAAGATCAGCCCGGACCCCACCTCTGCCCGGGTTCCCCTGGGCTTACCTCGGAAGAACTCCACATTCCCCAGGAAGAGTGTGCTGTTTAAAAGGGCAAGGACCCAGCACAGAGGCAGCAGATATAGCATGCAAATCGTGCCCAGAAGAGCCCCATAGAACCTGGATCAATAGAGAGGAACCACAGGATCAGAAATTCATAAGATCAGAAGGAAACTGGTTTAGGGCATACCCACAGGGGAGTCTAGGCAAGAAGTAGCTCTGGGAACAGTTAATATGCTGACAAGATCTGCTAATCAAACAAGGGGAACGCAAAGTGAGGAGAAAGGATTTACAACCACCAACAGGTCACAACTGACATGCAGAGGCCGCAGTGGTGGCTGAGGATAGGGCCACCGAAGCGGGTTTAACACACATCACTCTTCAGGATCTAGACTCTGAAGTCTGGAATAAGACAGATTTGGATCTGAATCTGGCTCTGCCACTTGTTGTGTGGTCTTGTGCAAATCCCTCGGTTCCCTTCCTTCTCTTGTTAAATGAGGACTAAAATAGAGCCTTCCTCTTAGAGCTACTACCAAGAGTGAGCCGGTACCATGGAAAGCACTGAGCACAGTGTCTGGCACCAGGAGAAGGCTAAACAAGCACTAGTCGTCATGAGTATTCACACACGAAGAGCCTCAAAAACACTCATTTCACTTGATCCAATAGTTCCATCCTAGCATTTATTTTAAGAAAAAAAGTTTCAAAAGACTAAGGTTAAACCCACAAAATGTGCACTACAGGGTTAGTAATTAAAAGTAGAAACTGACTAAAAACACAACAGGATGTATAATATATAATTTCATAAATTACAGTATAATCACTATCTATATTGGTGTGGTATTACAAGTAATTCCAAAAGCTATGTAGCAACATGGAAAACCAATTATATAGTACAATAAGTGGGGGGAAAAAAAGAGTCTCTGAGCTATAGACAGCATGTGCCTATGACAAACTCTAGCCGGCAATCCAAACAGGAGATCGGCTGCTATACCAGGGTGGGAGATTACATGGTGAGTTATTTTTCTATTATTAAAATATTTTCAGCATACTGCAGAAAGAAGGTGGCAAACCAAAGCAGGGCATTAAAGCCCACAAGCCTACGTGCTGGTCTGCACACAAGAGCCTAGAGGGCTCTTTTCCCCTGAGCTCGGGCAACAGGAGGCCTCTTAAGGCAGCTGTCTTTGCCTGAGGCCCTCAGGGCAGGGGTGGTGGGAGGGAGGAGCACTCACTGTGAGGACACGGTGGGGTTCTCCCAGTGCAGCACGCGGTAGGCAGCTTCGCAGGTGCAGCACAGGCGGCTCAGGAGGGCCTCCAGCTGGATCAAGCTGCAGACACAACACAGGGGGCTCATGCAAGCTGTGCGCCCCGCCTCACCCGCTGTGCGGCCTAACAGAGCTCCAGGGCAGCAGAGCCCAGGACTTCGCAGGCACAGCAGCCTAGGTTCAGCCAGTCCCGTCAAACCCCTTGGAGGGGTCAGAGAGTTTGGGGAAACTTCATACATATCAGGCCCCTTCTTGGAAAACTTGCTGAGGTTCCTGCTTTAGTCTCTTCCTAGCTGTTGGTGTTGGGCCGGTTACTTAACTTTTTCAAGGATGCAGTTTTCCTCTATACTATGAGAAGCAGAGTACCTGAGGAGCAGGGTATCACCTCCCAGATGCACTGGAGCTGTGAAGGTGGGTGGCAGGATGTACAGCAATGTGTATCCACCTAGGGTTTCAGATAGACTGACCTGGAGAGTTTTTTTAAATGGATCCCCTCAACCCCCATCAAAAGTGAAGAGAGCATGTTTGTGCAATGAGCACCCAGATCTTGGTTTCTGAAGGGATCCTTGGAGAAATGGCTGATTCTAGAACAAGGCAGAGAATGTGGAAGATGAATTTGAACATTCTACTGTATCATAGGGCTTCCCTCATAGCTCAGTTGGTAAAGAATCTGCCTGCAACGCAGGAAACCCAGGTTTGATCCCTGGGTTGGGAAGATCCCCTGCAGAAGGAAACAGCAACCCACTCCAGTATTCTTACCTGGAGAATCCCAGGGATAGAGGAGTCTGGAAGGCTACAGTTCATGGGGTCGCAAGAGTCAGACATGACTTAGCAACTAAACCACCACTACCACCGTATCATAAAATAAAAAAGTGAAAGTTGCTGAGTCATGTCCGACTCTTTTCAACCCCATAGACTATACAGTCCATGGAATTCTCCTGGCTAGAATACTGGAATGGGTAGCCTTTCCCTTCTCCAGGGGATCTTCCCAACCCAGGGATCAAACCCAGGCCTCCCGCTTTGCAGGCAGATTCTTCACCAGCTGAACCACAAGGGAAGCCCAAGAATGCTGGAGTGGGTAGCCTATCCCTTCTCCAACAGATCTTCCTGACCCAGGAATCGAACCAGGGTCTCCTGCATTGCAGGTGGATTTTTTACCAATTGAGCTATCAGGGACGCCCGAACTGAGGACAAAATAAGATCAAAATTAATAATCATAGTAATGGATTATAACCCATTGAATAAAATTTTAAAATCCTGCATTCATACAGATAATAAGGAAAAGCTCTTTCTTACTGAATGTCAGCTAATAATGACTATGCAACCATCACAGTAATAAATTCATGAAAATAAGACCCAACAGTGGGTTTCAATGTAGTGGGTGAAGCTTTGACGAGGAACAAGATACTTAACAAAGTCTCAAAGTACCCCCATTCAGATTACTAACTCTAGAGGGTAAAATAAACAGTCACTTTACAGTGGAGAAACTTTCACCAAGGTAATCAAAGTTAGTATCTCCTGTAACAGACAATGACATCATGTACCTCTTGATATGATACAATGACAACGTCACATTTCTGCCAAAGATGCAAAACCTGAATCCAATCATGAAGAACCAAATTACCGAAAGAGAAGGGAAGTTCTACAAAATAATAAACTTGTTATATTTTAAAATGTCAAGGTCATGAGAAACAAAGACTGAGGAACTATTCCAGGTCACAGAAGACTAAAAGCTAAATGTCACTTATGAGTCTGGACTGGAGCCCAGATCAGGAGAAATTTATATAAAAGACCTTATTAGTACAACTGGCAAAATTTGATCATGAACAATTATTAGATAATGGCACTAATGCTAATGTTATCCATGTTAAATTCCCAAAATCTGATTACAGGACTGTGGATATAGAAGAGAATGTCCTTGTTCTTAGAAAATATATACTGAAGTATTGGGTAAACAGACAAGATGTCTGTAATTTACTTTCAAATGGTTCAGAAAGAAAAAAATTATGTCTTCGTGTAGGGAGATAGATGAAGCCAATGTGGCAATACATTAATAACTGTTCTATCCAGGAAAAGGGCAGATGAGAGTTCTTTGCACCATTCCTGGAACTCTTCCGTAAGTTTAAAATCATTTCAAAGGAAAAAGGTTTTTGAAAAACTGCAGATACGCAGCACCCCCACCCTCACAGGTAACTGACTCAGAATTTCTTCAGAAGAGCCCAGCCCTCCACTTGTTTATAAAAAAAATTTTTTTTTTGGAGCTCCACAGATGTCTCTGCTGCCCAGGAAGAGACGAGAACCCCTGTTGTATGTCATGGGAGCCACTGAAGCTGTTACAGTTGTTGTTTTCCAACAGTCTGAAGGTGCTTCCTCAGAAGCTCCAGCTCTGTCACATTTAGGAAGTTCCTCCACAGAGTAGTAACAATGATTAATATTTAACTGAACACTTGTTGGGTACCAGACACCCTGTACTTATCTCATTTAACAGATGATAAACCTGAGGAACTTGCCCAGAGTCACACTGGAAGAGCTGGGATTTGAACCTACGCAGTGGCTCATGCTTGCATGTGCTCAGTCAAGACCCTAAACTGTGGAATCAGCTAGATATGGATTCCCATCCCAGCTTAGTCACTTGCCTTTTTCCTCCTTCATCAATGGAGGTCAATCATAGTAGCCACCTCCCGGAACTCTGACAAAGACCAAAGGCAATAACATCCTCGTTTCACCCTAGACAATGTCTGGTGGCCAGCAAGCACTCAGTGTGGTGGCAGCGGGCACTGTCACCATCCCTCACCTCCCTAGCCCCTTCCATACTCACAAGCTCTTCACCTCGGCTATGGCCTCGGGGCGAGACAGGCGAACTCTCTGCAGGTCCTCCTGCCTCACGCTGTGGTACTTCCTCCTCATCAGCTCAGACTCGGGCAGCCGTGCCCGGCAAACCTCCTGAAGGTAGCCCAGTAGGGCGGGCACTGAAATCATCAGGGCGCCCACGGAGTACCAGGCACCTATGGGAGCAACGACACTGCAGATGAGCGAGCGGCAGTACCAGGAGCCGCCACCCACCCAGCTGTCCACGTGCTCGCTCCCTCACCTCCTCCAGGCCTCTGCCCAAAAGAGCCCGCCCCAGATCACCTAGTATGAAGCAGCATCTCCCCACTCACCCTCCAGACTCTTAACCCAGCTCTAGTTTTCTTCACAGAACTTATCACCACAAGGCAGACTACAGGCATGGCTTTTGGCCTCTCCATGAATATAGGCCCCTGAGGGCTAGGACTTTCCCCATCTGGTCACTGCCGTAGCCCTAAAGCCTTTTAAAAATATTAAAAACCCCTCTACTAGTACACAGCACACAGCAGGTAGCTCGTGCCTGGGGTCTGGCCACGGGGAGCTCCCGATGTCTGATATTCTGACCTTTGGGTCACGGCGGCTGACTGGAAGCCTTCCATTGGCATTTAGGACACCACTGACCATTTTGGATCGAGAAATGGTGAGGCTAAAGTAAAATCCAAGGAAGGAACTTCTTCCATGTTAACAAGGAAGCAAACTAACAGAGCACTGGGTACAAAGTAATTAAATATCTGTCACCTGAACTAATTTACTGTGGAAATATATTCAGAAAAATCTAACAGCTTGGGAAGGATATCTGAGTTTCAGTGAGGCAGAGAAGAGTCCTACCAAGACACGGAAGATGAGGTCTTATGTGAAATGGGTTTATTTTTCAACTCACTGAAACCACAGGAAGCAAAGGAGACACTTGAGAAATGGGAATTCAATAGAACAAAGGCATGAAGATAGGACCCAAAGCTTCAGGACATTCTATCCCAGGCCCTTCACTCATTTCCCTTGAGGGGCTTGGTTTTTTCTGCAGCCATCTGCCAGTTCTGACCAAAAGGGCTGGGTCACAGCATGGCTTTTCATAAAAGGTTCCCAGGAGACATCACTACCCAGGACCCCTCCAGCTACCTACGTCCACACACCGACCTCAAAGGCTGCATGCTACAAACGCCTCACTGCGGTTGACTGCCTGGCAGACCCCACCAGGATCACTTGCTGAGCCAGAGAAAACCAGCAGGCAAAAGTGCCTCATCAGTTCACCTTCCCAGTACCTTCACCCCAGGTCATGTCCTCAGCTGACCCCGGAAACCAAACTGGGAAAAGGTCAATGCATTTAGTCCAGAGGAAACAATAGTAATAGTTATAATTTACTGGCTGCTTATTTTAACTGTGTTAAGTGTTACACATAGATTATCTCGTTCTTCACAACTACCCTCTGAGGAAAGCACTTCTACTGTCCCCCTTCAGAGAAAACGAAATTTAGTCACTCAGTCATGTCTGACTCTGACCCCATGGACTGTAGCCTGCCAGGCTCCTCTGTTCATGAAATTCACCAGGCAAGAACAGTGAAGTGGGTTGCCATTTCCTTCTCCAGGGGATCTTCCCAAGGGACTGAACCCGGGTCTCGTGCACTGCAGGCAGTCTTTACTATTTGAGCCACAGGGAAGCCCCATTCAGAGATAAGGATGACTAGGCCTAAGAGGCAGGTTAAAGAACTTCTGAGGTCATACCAGTGGCCCAGTCGGGATTCCAGCCCCAAGTGGGTCCCTCAGGAGCCTGTGTCTCGACACTGAGCGGACACGGAGGGAGGCTGACCCCACAGCGGGACAGGCGGCTCCCTCATACAGGGCCGATTCTCAGAATTCCTCTCCACCTTCATTCGCAAAAAGCCCTGGAAACAGTTCTTACCCTCGTTCAAGGTGAGGAACAAGATGTTGAGGCCCAGGCAGGTCAGCAAGGAACACAATGGCGTCTGCCACCTGCAACACAAGGCTGTATATTGTCACCCTGTTTATTTAACTTATATGCAGAGTACATCATGCAAAATGCCATTCTGGATGAAGCACAAGCTGGAATCAAGATTGCTGGGAGAAGTATCAATAACCTCAGATATGCAGATGACACCACCCTTATGGCAGAAAGTGAAGAAGAACTAAAGAGCCTCTTGATGAAAGTGAAAGAGGAGAGTGAAAAAGCTGGCTTAAAACTCAACATTCAAAAACTAAGATCAGGGCATCCAGGCCTATCACTTCATGGCAAATAGATGGGGAAACAATGTAAACAGTGACAGACTTTATTTTCTTGGGCTCCAAAATCACTGGAGATAGTGACTGCAGCCATGAAATTAAAAGACGCTTGCTCCTTGGACGAAAAGCCATGACCAACCTAGACAGCATATTAAAAAGCAGAGACATTACTTTGCTGACAAAGGACGGCCTACTCAAACCTATGGTTTTCCAGTAGTCATGTATGAATGTGAGAGTTGGACCATAAAGAAGGCTGAGCGCTGAAGAATTGATGCATTTGAACTGTGGTGTTGGAGAAGACTCTTGAGAGTCCCTTGGACTACAAGGAGATCAAACCAGTCAATCCTAAAGGAAATCAGTCCTGAATATTCATTGGAAGGACTGATGCTGAAGCTGAAGCTCCAATTCTTTGGCCACCTGATGGAAAGAGCTGACTCACTGGAAAAGACCCTGATGCTGGGAGGGATTGGGGGCAGGAGGAGAAGGGGAAGACAGAGGATGAGATGGTTGGATGGCATCACCGACTCAATGGACATGAGTTTGAGCAAGCTCCAGGAGTTGGTGATGGACAGGGAGGTCTGGTGTGCTGCAGTCCACGGGGTTGCAGTCGGACACGACTGAGCGACTGAACTGAACTGAACCTGCAATACAGAGAGTCCTGCTCACCGAAGACAGCTGCCCCTCCAGCCAGGTCTTCCAAACCAGGAGCAAGAGGAGGCCCCGGAGCTCAGAGGTAACTCACAGATGGTCAGGAAGAAATGAAAAGTGGGCCTCTCACTTGGACAGACGACCGGGAGAGAGACCTGAGGTCACACCCCAGGCCCCAGGGTGAGAAAAGGCAGCCTCTGGAAACCACAGGAGGAGGAAGGAGGAGGAAGAATTTATAAAATTCTCTTAATGTTATAACCCTATTTAACCTGTGTTGTGTAGGTTTTATTCTCTTTAAGAGGTGTCGATCACATTCTTCTTTAAAGGTTTCCTTTATTCTTTGTATTTACTGAGATAGAGTTGGGAGGCAATATATTCTTTTTTTTTTAATTTCAAAGGAACATACACCTACTGCACAAGATTCACTCAATATGAAAATTGAGTGAACAAATGTGAAGGATTTCTCTGCCCTTATCTGCAATTTTCTCTTCTTTCTATGATTTTGAGAGTTTTAAACATACATTAATTCCAAAGGAATGAAAATTATAAAGATTTCAATATATAAAATATGAAGACAAACCAGGGTTGGCATTCTCTCAGGAAACATGCCTGAAGCAAACTGGAACTTTCAGAGCCAAACACAGACCCGGCTTCCACCACCACCAAATGGCAACGCAGAAGCCCCCAAAGACAGAGGAAAGAAAATCAGAGACAGAGTACTGAGTTCAAGCAAACGCTACTGGCTTAGTCCTTGATAAAGAACATTTAATAGGATAAAGAGCACACAGATGTAATAACAAAGCCACTGACACCTACATTCTAAAGAGCAAGGTCAGTTTATATAAGGTGAGCCCTCAGAGGAGAAAGTCAAATATAAAAATCAACAGCTAAGTTGCAATGTATTCAGAACTTCAATGCATTTTCTTTTGCTCTAATTGGGGTATTTCACAGTTACAAAATGAAGTTAACTAACTTATGAGCTACTTTTATTTCTTAATGAGAGTTAAGGGAGTAAGGGAGTGAAATAACCTCTCTCCGTCTTTGTCTTAAAATTACAAACCCTCCAATTTACACCACCCTAATTAGACCTCAGACCCATCTATTGGTTCTACCAGAGCAAAAGCAAATTAAAAGTCAGGTCTAAGGCCAATCCCATCTCAGAAATAAAAACATTACACAGCCACTGAGGTCACTTTCATTTAAAGCCTTTTTTTTTTAATTAAAAAACAAAAAAGATGTTTATTTTTCTTTGGGCCATGCTGAGCAGCATGTGGGATCTTAATTCCTCCATCCCCAGGGATTGAACCCGTGCCTTCTGCAGTAGAAGTGCAGAGTCACCAGGGAATTCCCCACTTCTTCCATTCTGTCTGATGTCTTTATTGACACTCTGTTCATGGAGACCCACTTACAGGAGTAGACGATCCCAGAAGAGAGAAGTCTTAAAAATCAACTGCGGCTCCAGGCTTCAGACCCCGAAGAAGCTCAAGATTAGGTACTTCTTCAAAGTCAAATCCTCTTTACTGAGAAAGAACAATCAAATACACAAACAAACCTGACAGCCACTTTCACAGACCAGTGCTCCATCTCCCAGCTGCTCCGAGACCACAAGTTCGTGGGGGCTTTTTAGGCCCAGTGCTCCTCCCCCATCCAACTTTTTCAATCCCACCACATTCTCAGATTTCTAATTTCATAAAACGGAAAAATCCTAACACACTAGTGCCAAGAAGTGCTAACAGACCTGTGCTGGAAAAGGAAGAAGGCAGGAAATACATATATATATATATATATATATATATATATATATATATATATATATATATAGTATTTTTTTTAAGGATATATTTAACTTCTGCACTTTGCCACAAAAAGGCAAAACACATATACATACACACGCAGGTATATACATACACATGCTTGTGTGCACAAGTGCACGCACATACACACAGTAGAAAACACCAGAGAGCACAGCCCTGTGAAGCCCACACACTCCCCTGAGGAAGACCACAGTTCATCTCAGCTAGCTGGTCATGAAGGAATTACAAAGCCAACCCCTTCAGACACTATCTCCCTACCCCTTATGTTGACAGCACAGTCATCTAAAAGTAGAGAACCTTGCTCTGAAACCCTGACAGCTCATCTCTAGGGATAATGCCATAAATTAAAGGAGTTCTGGGGCAAACAAGAAAAATTGGGAGCTTTGGACAGAGTTAAAAATAAAGCTCCAATTATCTCCAGACTGAGGTTAAGAATGAATACTCTGTAGCACCTTGAGAAATTAACCCAACTCTACTCGCCCTGTCTCCAACCTGTCCCTCTCAGGCATCTGAGCAGGTGGAAGGTCTTTATGAATATCTGATGAACTTCTCCCTAGAAATACACACATGTGCCTGCACAACTTTACAGGCAGGTTCAGGAGAGTCAATGACCCCTACAGCGCCATACACTGGCTCTAGATGCAGAACGACTGCTCTTTAGGACAAGCTAGTTTTATGTGACTCCCATTACCATGCAATATTAAGAACACATGACCTTTACAAAAAAAAAAAATCTTTTTTTCTTTTTTTAACTTGAATCTAATCCAACTTTTAAATTTAACCTCCAGTCTGCACCAGGAAGAAACAGCAACCAGACAATCTAGTAGGAAATTCTCCAGCACACTCAGCTGAGCCTCCAGCACATCAGGGTTATGAAGAACACCACTTCAATGAGAAAGATCTAAGGGACATAATAACCACACAGAATGCATGGCCCTGGACTGGAGTCTGATTGGGCCAAAACAATGGTAAATGACATTCTTGGGGCAAATGAGGAAATCTGAATATGAACTGGGTTTAGGGTGATATCAAGGAATCACACTGTTAATTTTGTTCGGTATGATTTTTTTTTTTAAGTCATTATTATTTAGAGATAAACCAAAGTATTTTGGGAGCAGAATTGTACGTATCTGTAATTTTAAATACTTTAACAGAAGAAATAAAGTGAGCTGAAAGGAGAAAAAACTTACTGAGGATGAAAATCAAAGCAGAATAGGAACAAAAAATTTTGAGAGCCATAATCTTAAAGGATTAGTGAAAATAGTACCTGTTTATTCGTAGATACTTGTTTGCATCCTAATTTTAATATAAATTATGCTAATATTGGGAGAGAAGGAATAAGAAAAAAGCATGCTCCAGATAGAAGGCCCAATGGTCAAGGAGAGGTAGCAGTCCTGGGATACGAGCTTATTCAGCCACAAAGAAGAAACTCTGGTGAAAGACCAGATGGTTCCCAGTGCCTGCCTCTCCTGGGTTGGGTCTGAGACAGGGGGTGGACCAAGAATAAGCCCAGAGGGCCAATGGACCTCCCAGAACAGCTCCTCACCAGGGCACAAAGGACAGCCCAGCCACTGCCTAAGTGGCCAGTGCAACTAAAAGCAGGAAGGCAAAAGGCCCAGCAGGTTAGAGTAACTCTAAATAAAATCTGTACCTGAGCAAGTACCGGACCCCATCGCCAGCGTCCTTCAGAGGTTCCAGGTAGACCTCAAGCCTCTTGTAGGACAGAACCAAGTTGAAAAGATCAAACGCCGGCGACTTGGTAGGAACAGGCAGAGACTCCAGGGTAGCCTCGGGGACCGTGCTGGGGCTCACCTCCGGTCCACAGCCCTCTCGCTCTGAGGTCTGCATCCTGTAATCATAAGAATTCCTGACATTTGCACTGCACTTCCAATGCTCAACACATTTCTACCTGCATTATTTCATGTGGGTGCCATAATAAACCTATAAGGTAGGCAGGGCTACAGATGGAAAGCCCATTTCACAGAGAAAGACATTCAGCAAGGCGAAGTGAATTACCCAGATAGAGCTGACCCCTGAAAAAGCATGGGTTTGAACTGCACGGATCCACTTACATACAGATTTTTTTTTTAATAGTAAATACTACAGTTCTAAATGATCTGCAGTTGGTTGAATGGTGGATATGGAGGAATGGCAGGAGGGCCTACTGTGAGTCATACTCTGGTTTTTGACTTCGCAGTCAGCACCCAACCCCTGCATTGTTCAAGGGTCAACTGTATAAAATCCTGCTCTTCCGACTCTCCATCTACTGTTCTTTTCCCCCACAGATCAATCAGGAGCATAAGCCATAAAGACCAAGCACACATGGCTACTGGTAGGAGGCAGCCTGGCGTCTCAAGAAAAACGATGTCCTGAAATAATTTTCTTCCACTTTTTACCTAATTAATTCCTATTCATCCTTCAGGTATCAGCTTAAGCATCACTCTCTTGCTCTGAGAAGCCTTTGCCAACACCCCCAGTCTGAACTGGGAGACCCTCCCATGCTCACAAAAGATCATGTACTCACCCCTAACAGCACTTATCACACCAAGGCAAAACTCCCTGCTTTCTTACCAGTCATCCCTCTTGAGTTCCACCAGCTCAGAGACTGTGTTCCATTCATCACTGTCTCTGCACACAGTAGGCAGGCAATAAATGCTCGCGGAATGAAGGAATCAACTGCTCATCCTCCAGGAACCCAGAGCTTTCTTCTGCCCTGCTCCAACCTCTAACCTCCCCCCACCCCCCACCCCCGCTCCCTTTAGTTACCAACAACTTCCTGAACCAACCCTGCCCGTTACTCTCCTCCCCTTTTCCCCTCTTGAACCCCACGCGGCCGTCATCACCTTCCACAACACTCCATTCCCTTCTCCCTTCTCGGATGCGGAGGGCCACAGGCGCTCTCATTCTCTTTCCTAATTTCAAGTCCTACCCAAACGCTAAGTAGTAAGCAAGGAGGCAGAACCTTGGCGCACAGCAACGATAGGGAGTCCAAGGGTAGGGGCTTCGATCTCGGACGGCGGGGAGAAGAGGGTGTTTGAAGGGGAGGATGACAAAGGGGCCATCAGGAACCTGAAGTCCCTGCAGGCGGAGCTAGGACGAAAGGACCCAGGGCGGACGCGAGGTAGGAGCACAGGAGGAGGTGAAGCAAGTCTGCCCCGGCAGGGGCCGGGCCATCACCTCTGCAGGCCAGGGAGCCTGACGCGGCCCAGAGGACCAAACCAGGGAAGGCCACATCCAAGGTCCCTGGGCCAGCAGGTGGTGGCCCCCGTGGCGTTCTGGCGCCCAACTCCGCACAGTTGGCAGACGCACCTTACCTACCCGGTCGCTGCGTTGATGGGGAAGGGGCGGGGACGGCCAGGAGGCACTTGATAGGGCCACTGGACCCCGGAGCTTTTCCTCAGGCCCGCCCCACCCCAACGACGAACCTCTTCCCAAGGCCGCTCTGAAGTCGTAGGACTGAGACCCTCCTCCGCCTCCCCCGCCGCCGCCACCACTTCCGGGAAGCGATTGCTCTGCGGCGCCGAACCCTGACGTCATCGCGCCCGCCCCGCCTCCGGCTCCGCTCCCGGGTTTAGCTCCGCCCACTCTGGGACAGGTGAGCGCCGGCATCCGCACTGCGCCTGCGTACTTTTTCTTCCTCGCCCGGGGTCCTGGCTTAACTCTAGTCTTACCCGCGGTTCGGTAAACCCTGGGAGCTTGCGCGAGGGGATTCTGCCCCTCGTGGCCCCCGCGTCGCTTTGGATTCTGGCAGGGAACAGTTGGAGTGAAGATAATCTGAAGAATTTATGTCTGCATCTTCTCCCCACCAACTTTGGCACTTACCTGACTCCCTATGGACCATGAGCTTACAAACGGCAGAAACCATACCCCTGCATGCCCGATGCCTAGCAGAAAATGCAATTCTGTTCAGTGTTTCCCGAGTAGCTACTGTGTACAAGGACCTGGGTAAGCCCTTCCCAACTCAACCCACTTCTCACTGTGTTGCCCAGTTAATCTCCCTTAAAGCTGCCTTTGCAGTAGCCTTTGCATTAGCCTTTATTTAGGGAGGACTAACCAGGCGCCGAGTACTGGACTAAGCTCTTTATGTGCGTGCTTGCTAAGTCACTTCAATCGTGTCGGACTCTAGGCGACCCTATGGTTTTTAGCACGCTAGGCTCCTCTGTTTATGGGATTCTCCAGGCAAGAATACTGGAGTGCCTTGCTGTTTCCTTCTGCAGAGGATCTTCCCAACCCAGGGACTGAACCCGCATCTCCTGCACTACTGCTGCTGCTGCTGCTAAGTCTCTTCAGTCGTGTCCAACTCTGTGAGACCCCATAGACGGCAGCCCACCAGGCTCCTCTGTCCCTGGGATTCTCCAGGCAAGAATATTGGAGTGTGTTGCCATTTCCTTCTCCAATGCATGCATGCATGCTAAGTCACTGCAGTCGTGTCTGACTCTGTGCAACCCTATGGACAGCAGCCCACCAGGCTCCTCCATCCACAGAATTCTCTAGGCAAGAATACTGAAGTGGAATGCCATTTCCTTCTCCACTCCTGCATTACAGGTGGATTCTTTACCGCTGAGGCATCAGGGAGGCCCAATCTTATCTAGTTCTCTTCCAACAACCCAATTATTAGGGTTATTGCCGTTTCATAGATGAGGAATCTGAGATTTGTCAAGGAACTTCAGTGTCTCTCAGCTAGTATGCAACTGTGAGCTGGAATTTTAACCTCACGGGTCATCTGATCCTACCCACCCCCCAGCTGTACCATCACCTCCTTAGTCTGTATTCATTGGCCTCATCCCCTGCAACTCCCCTCCCTGGGCCTCTTCACTTCAGCAGACTGAACTCCTCCACTGTTACCTTCAAGTACCCCTTGCATTCTGATCTTACATTGCTTGTTCTGTGAGCTCAGGGAGGAATGCCTTTCTCCCACTTGTGCTTGGGTCCAAATCCAACCCATTCATCTAAGTGAAAAGTGAAAGTGTTCATTATTCAGTCAGTGTTCGACTCTTCCTCATCCTGTGCATGGTAGCCCTCCAGGCTCCTCTGTCCATGGAATTCTCCAGGCAAGAATACTGCAGTGGGTAGCCATTCACTTCTCCAGGGGGATCTTCCAGACCAAGGGACAGAACCTTCGTCTCCTGCATTGGCAGATGGATTCTTTTCCATGTGAGCCATCGGAGAAGCCTGTTCATCTAAGCAGGAGTCAGATGCTGCACTCCTTCCCTGATGCCCCAGTCGGAAGTAATCACTTCCCCTTCCAAACAGCCAGGAGGTAGACAGATCCAAATGCCCCGCTGACCACTAAGCTGTATTTAGAAATCTCTCTGCTCCTGCTTCTTAGAGGAATGGGCCAGGCTTTTCTGCTGGACTCTGCTTGTCCTTCTTTAGAATAAAGTTAGGGAAAGCAACGAAAAGAATATTTTTTTATTCAGTAACTTTACCTGAAATTCTACCATCAGTAATTTACTGCAAAGGTAGGTTTCAGTTTCTTTACAATCCCTCCTCCTTGGGTCTGCCTGAACCACTGGCCTGAAGCTGACTGTAGTTAATAGTTTATTGGTTTTCTCTCTTGGCAGCTATGAAATTGAGGGGTATCATTCCAGAACTCCTAGACATTATGTGAGGAAAACATTGGAGGGTACAAAAAGGCTCTAAAGACCAAAAAGGGAAAACATCCACAGCCAACATCAGTGATCGAAGACTTCCCCTGGTCAACTGGATTCTGCTTTGGGAGCCTGATTCTCATTTTTCATAATCCAGTTCTCCAGGTTCTTTCTTTCCCTTCACCAGCATTCTGAGTCTTCACTTTTTGCCTCAAATCCTGGTGCCATTGATGTTTTCCCCGGGATAGCTGATAGGTGGAAGAGACTAAAGAAGAAAATAAAATAGAAAAAGAGGTTTAGTAATACCTTGTATGTGCGTGCTAAGTTGCCTCAGTCGTGTCCATCTCTTTGCAACCCCATGGACCATAGCCCGCCAGGCTCCTCTGTCCATGGGATTTCCCAGGCAAGCATACTGGAGTGGTTTGCCATGTGCTCCTCTAGGGGATCTTCCTGACCCAGGGATTTAACCCACATCTCTTAAATCTCCTACATTGACAGGTGGGTTCTTTACCACTAGTGCCACCTAGGAAGCCCAATTAATAATTAACATGACATTTTTCAAAGGTTAGCTTTGCATCTATAAACAAAGGTGTATATGACCCACATAATTGAACTTCACTGCGTCTCTTGGGCTTCCCTGATAGCTCAGCTGGTAAAGAATTTGCCGGCAATGCAGGAGGCCCCAGTTTGATTCCTAGGTAGGGAAGATCCCCTCGAGAAGGGATAGGCTACCCACTCCAGTATTCTTGGGCTTTCCTGGTGGCTCAGATGGTAAAGAATCCACCTGCAATGAAGGAGACCTGGGTTCAATCCCTGGGCTGGGAAGATCCCCTGAAGGAGGGCATGGCAACCCACTCCAGTATTCTTGCCTGGAGAATCCCCATGGACAGAGGAGCCTGGCGGGCTGCAGTCCATGGGATCACAAAGAGTGGGACACAGCTGAGCGACTAAGCACACAGGCCCAGGGCCCTTGGAGAAATGTTAGGTAGAACTATTAATAGCTAGAAAAATAGAAGCTAAAAAAAAAAGAATGGCTAAGCACAGCTTTGTCCACCAGATGGCGCTCTCACCCACTCTTACACAGACGTTTCGGAAGCCTTGCTAAAACTGGGGTTTCCCGGCGGTGGTCTCTATCCCACCATTTCTGCATATATCAGACCTTCTCATGCTCTTAGCTGCATTCGTTATCTCTTGTGTGTCACAAATTATTTCAAAACTTAGTGGCTTAAAACAATAATAAATATATATTATTTGGCT